AGTGCCAAGCACTTACTAAGTACAATTCCTGGTTATAAAGTTGGTAGTACTTTCTCAATTTAAAAATGACATAAAGGAACAGGTGACTGACACAGCAGTTAAGACACCACATGGGACACCTGCATCTCATATCAGAGTGCCTGGGGTTCAAGACCCAGCTCCTCTTCTGACTCCAGCTTCCTGCTCATGTATACCCTTAAGGGGCAACAGTGATGGCTCAGATAGTTTGGGCCCCTGCCACCCACATGGGAGACCCAGACTGAGTTCTCAGTTTCTGGCTTCAGCATGGCCAGCCTTGGCTGTTGTAGGCATTTAGGGGAGTGAATCAATCGATAGAAGATCTCTGTCCCTTTCTGCCTTTCAAAATAAAATAAAGGTAAAAAAAAAAAATTACAACCCTATGGTCAAGCTAATAAAGAGTAAGAAAATAAATTTAGTTATACAACATCATAAACAAGAAACAGATAAAACCATGGATCTGTATACATATTAATATATTAATGCTATATAATCAAAACTAATGTTTTTAAATCTATTAAGTAGATTATTAAATAGACTGAAAATATAACATCATCACAGCTGTATCGCTGACTCAAGAAGAGGTAAGAAATTTGACTTGATCAATAATATGGAAGAAACTGAGACTCTTAAAGACTAGCTCTGAGAGACCTAAGCTTAGACAAGAGAAGTGGGAAAAAGAACAGAGATTAGATAACAAAGAAATAAACTGGTTTTATGGTTAAATATCTTTCCTAAAAGATAAGGAGAATGTTCTAAAGTTTAAGAAATTCCAAGTATTGGGGTTTGGAACTGGGCAGTTTCTGGCCATAGTGCAAGTGGGAGACAGCAGACTAAGTGGTAAAGAATTTAACCTTGCCCCAACAGAAGTCTAGCCTTTGCCTTCAGTTTCTGATAAAGGCAACCTCTAAGCCCCTAAAATACCCTACCTAATAAAGTATCTTTGTTTACTTGGGGACCTTGAACCAAACCAGTCTATGCTAATAATATGATTTACAGTGGAGCTCTCAGTCACATCCTGTCAGGTCAACCTCAAGAGGGCTTGTCCTAGAGACTGAGTCTGCCACTTGGGCAGTGCATAAAAATTCTCAAAACCACAGCTTGGGTGAGCTTCCCTGGTCAGCAACTGTCTATGCAAATTATCACACATCACTGACACGAGGAGTTAACATTGTTCATGATCCCACTGGGAAAACAAATGGAAGCTCCACATTTGAAAATCTCCTGGACTTTTCCTTAAACCTTTCCTTTGGAGGACATTAATCTGTATCTTGTCCACTATAACAAACATAACCATAAGTAAAACAACTTTCAGGGAGTTGAGTTCTAGAAAATTATCAAACTGGGGCTGGCGCTGTGGCGTAGCGGGTTTAAGTTGCTGCCTGCAACACTGGCATCCCATTTGGGCATCGTTTCAAGTCCTGGTTGCTCCATTTCTGATCCACCTCTCTGCTAATGGACTGGGAAAGCAGCAGAAGATGGTCCAAGTCCCTGGGCCCCTGCACCCATGTAAGAGACCCAGAAGAAGCTCCTGGCTCCTGGCTCCTGCATGGCCCAGTTCCAGCCATTGCTGCCATTTAGGGAAAGAACCAGCAGATGAAAATCTCTGTCTCTCCTCTCTAACTCTTTCAAATAAATAAATAAATCTTTTTTTAAAAAGTTACCAATGGAATTTAGAAATTAATGACCCAATTCCTGTTGAGCTGACTCACTAGGTAAGTAATGAAATAGAAACTAGTAAGACTAATTATATATTTTGTTTCTGTTATCTGTAATAGTTAAAATGAAAATAAGAGATGGTTGAGATGGACTCAATACTGGGTTAAGCTCATATTTGGTCTGAGCCATGGTTACTAGCCTCACAATAATTTCAAAAACTATAAAATTTTGTGCTGGGACATTAGCCAGTACCACTACAACCTCAGGCAACAAGAAGGTAGTCCAGAGGTGAGTGTTGCGGGTTAAGCTGTTACCACAGACACCTACATTCCATATAAAATGTGCTGGTTCGAGTCCCAGCACCTCTGCTTCTAATCTAGCTTCCTACTAATGCATTCCATGAGAGAGCAAATGATGACCCCTGTTACCCACATGGGAGACCTAGATGGAGGTCTGGGTTCCTGGCTTCAGCCTAGACTGGCCCTGGCTATTGCAGGCATTTGGAGAGTGAACCAGGGGAAGGAAACACTCTCTCACACATACACATTCCCCTCATCTTTAAGTAGATAAAAATAAACATTAAAAAAACTTCATCCATGTGAGAAAAAGATGAAACCAAGAAACTGCTGAAATCAGAGAAAAAGGAATTGTCTCATTTATGGATTAACACCGTCAGCTTCCTGAAGAAAAATCTTACACTGAAACAGACTGTCAACATGATTAACATAGAGGCCAGGATTTTTGGTCTGAATGCTGCAGAATGATAGAGCACGTTTCAGTTGATGCAGGACCCACAGCTCCCAACTGAACAACCAGATGGCTACACATGATCCAGAAACACAGCATGTTATTCCTTAGGGAACAACTAGCCTGGTGGACGAGATCAAAGCCACTGTAAACTTACCCTGAAGAGAGCAACTGTCCTCCTCTTATGAATGCCAAATGGAACTCCCCAGAATAAGAAACTGATATGCTTCTTATGCAAGTCATGCTGAACTGGCACTATGGTAACTGGAGTATCATCCACTGTGTATGCCTCATGCCAAGTGGCAAATACTGTGATTAAGGGGCCCCTTTTGTAAAGACACACCACATGACTTCATCACTACAAAAATCTAGCAAAGACAGCAAAAGCCTTACCTAATTTATTGTCTCAGTTTCCCTTGATAGTTGTTACAGATGCTAAGAAAATTTAACAGATTCATTGAAAAACAAGGGAAAACAATGCAGAGCAGGTCAAGGGACTTGCCAAGATGGAAGTTTTTTAAAATGGATGAATAAAATGGACGTTTGACCCAGCCATTAAGATGCTACTTGGAATGCCCACATCCATATCAGAGTCCCTAGGTTCATGTCCTGGCTCTGATTCTTATTCTAGCTTCCTGTTAATGTGCACCCTTGGAAGCAGCAGGTGATAACTAAAGCAGCTGATCCCTGCCAACCACATGGGAGACACGACTGAGTTTCCAGCTTCTGGTTTCAGAGAGGTCCAATCCCAGCTGTTGTGGGCCTTTGGGGAATAAATCAACAGATGGGGATATTCTCTGTTTCTTTCTCTCTGCCTCCCAAATAATAAAATTTTAAAAATGGGGTTGAGAAGAGCCACAGAGACAAGATGATAATGAGAAGCCTAACCTCAAATTTCTTGGGTGAGGAAGGATTTTCTTAACTCAACCTACCAGTTTGGAAATCAAGGTAACATACTCATGTGTAGGTAAAAAGGCCAAGGGGTAGATAAGAAGTAGTTCTGGAGTTTTTGACAGGGAAGCCAAATGTATTCTGATGTCAAAATCTGCTGAAGGTTAAACTGGGAGGAAAGAGTGACTGCTGATACTAAACGTGAGAGGTTAAATTAGATTTAAAATGTTTTCACAGGCTCTATGGGAAATGATTATATCTCCCTGGCCTGAACATATTATTAGAATGGATACTATATCTAGCTAGTAAATATTTCATTTGCCTAGTATTATAAAACAAAAGGCATAGAAGTTCACCTTAAGGCCAATCTTGACTGGACATGCTAAATGGGAACCACCAGAACTGCCAAGTCCACAGAGGTTGTTAGTTTAAGGTAGTCCCAATACCAGCACTTAAATCTCATGGGTAGTTGGTATAAATGAAATAAACATTCAGCATTCAGAAAACTGCCTGGCAAACTAAGAATACAAGCACTGTTAAAAAATTAGGATTAGCATATTCCCTCTTTAAGAAGATTCTAGTTGAGGCCGGTGCTGTGGCACAGCAGTTGAAGCTGCTGCCTGCGGTGCAGGCATTCCACATAGGCAAAAGTCTGAGTCCCAGCTGCTCCACTTCTGATCTAGCTCCTTACTAATGCGCCTGGGAAAACAGCAGAAAATGGCACAAATACTTGGGTCCCTGCACCCACGTGGGACACCCAGAAGACGCTCCTGGCTGAGTCCTGGACACTACGGCCATTTGGGGAGTCAACCAATGGATAGATCTTTCTCTCTCTGCCTCTGTGACTTTGCTTTTCAAATAAATAGATAAATCTTTAATCAAAAAAAGAAGAAGAAGAAGAAGAAGAAGAAGAAGAAGAAGAAGAATTATTCTAGTGAACCTCAAAAATTCTAATGAATTGAAAATCTAAGAAAACATACAGCTAACAAACATATTTAGGTGTAATTAATCCAACCTCTCTACTCTTTATTGGCAATATATTCATGAAATTTACTTCCATTTAATCAGAAAAGCACTTCAGAAAATCCTGGACTACGGAGGTTAAATTATCTTTTTACCTGTAATAATCATATGCCATGGAAGCTAAGGAAATTTAATGGAGAATTTTGTTATATATCTAACTAGAAGTTTTACAATTCCAAATAGTTCAGATGAAATGCCTTTGGATAAATGAATATTATTGAATTATACGGGAAAAAGAGTTAAAATACAAAGTTATTTATCAATGACTTTTTGTTCATAAAGCCTTAGTTTTCTGCAAAGTATACATCCAATATTAAGCTGGTATATTTATGGTTTGACGCAAAAACAGTTATCAATTAGACATCCTGTGGGAATGTGCCTTTCCAGAAGATAGCCTATAACCTAAGTACTATGTCACACTTGGAAAAAATTTGATCCACTGGAAAAACAAACAAAGAAATAATACAATTCCATTCTTGTAAACCCAAACCTGCATGATGATATATTTTAACAAATACTCATAAGACAATTAGATATGAATGTGGAAGCAATTAAATGAAATACATATTGCTTCAAGACAAAATTATAGAAACAATATTTGCTTTAAGTAAATTTTACAATTATTTTAAAAATTTCTTGGTAAGTAATTATGATTTCTGTACCTATGTTCTTTGTGCTCCAGTAGCTGACAGTCTCTACAGGTCAGTCTGTCACATGTTTCACAGAAAAGTTTCAACTGCTCTTGTTTGTGTACAGGACAGAAAACAGGGCGCTGACCAGATGTCCCAACAGATTCTGTAGCAAAATAAAACAAAGATTTTTTTTTTAAAACTAAACATAAAATTTTGTATACTTTCCTAAATCCTTAGTGATGCTGGTATTCAAAATTTATATGAGTAAGTAGAAAGTATTATAGAGGAAAGTTAATTACAATCTATCCATCTTACCTGAGACATCTTCTTTCTTCCTGATCAAGTGATCTTTAGTGAACTTTACTCTTTGATGTGCTTCAATACAGGTTTTACAGAGCCACTCTCCACATTCTACACAAAAGCCAACAGCACTTGCATTGTCTTCACAACTAGTACATACCTAAAAACATGAAATGCTAATCTACATTAAATTTACAAACACAGGTCCACAAAATAAAGGTGAAAACATGTTAACTTGTTCTCAAAAATATTGGCTAATTTTCTATACACAGAATAAAATTTTGTTATCCATTTATCACCAACAAAATCCTTTTCCTTACAAATTAAATATTCAGGTAGTCAAAATTTTAGACTCAGAACCCAAAGTCAGGGTAAGTTGTGATTTTTTTTAATGAATATATAATGACACAATTCTCATTTAGCCAAGCTCAAGGGTATAGAACAAAGTTATCCTTTATTATTAATTTAAAAAAATGAGCTACAGCAAAACTATTCTAAATTACTTAACCAAAGATTTTTATCAATTACATTTTAATATCAAGATAGGATTATAAAGAAAAGTTGAAAAGCATACCTGTTCTGATTTCTCATCAGAACTGCTAGGGGCTTCAGATGTGTCTTTCACAAAGTAATTATCCACAAGGTCTATCTGTCTGCATTCTTGGCGACATACTGGGCACCGTATTACACCAACTACAACAAAAAATGACAACATTTAAAAAATATTCTTCAGGAAAAACTAAGGAAACTGTGCACGATGTTCATATGGAACTATTCATTAATATGTCACAGACAAGATCAAAGAAAAGAACATTAAGATATGAATAGAACAACCCGGAACTATATATCATCTTTTGAAAAAATGACACCGTTCTCAAAGAGAAAACAAACATGGAATATGGTCCTCCCCAAAAGTCATTCTTTATTATAGTATGTGGTTAGCTGAATAATGATCCCAAAAGAAATTCAGGTCCTAACTGTCAGAACCTATGAATGCTCTTTTGCATGGAAAAAGGGGCTTTTTGCAGTAGTGATCAACCAGTGGGTCCTAACTGTAATCAAGTGGTATTTTAACAAGGGGATTAGGGATTGGCATTTTGGTGTAGCAGGTTAAGCTGCCACCTGCGATGCTGCCATCACATACAGGCACAGATTCATATCTTGGTTGCTCCCCTTCCAATCCAGATCTCTGCTAATACGCATGGGAAAGCAGCAGAAGATGGCCCAACTGTGTCCCTGACACCCACACAGGAGACCCAGAAGAAGCTTCTAGCTCCTGGCCACTGCAGTCATTTGGGGAGTGAAACAGAAGATGAAAAGAGTTCTCTGTCTTTCCTTCTTTCTGCAACTCTGCCTTTCAAATCAATCAATCAATAAATCCTTTTTAAAAATTAAGAGGAGAATTAGACTACAAAGAGCAAAAGCCACCTGACAATGAATGCAGAGATTGAAGCAATGTACTTTTAAGATGAAGGAAGGGGCCACAATCCAAACAGGTGAACTAGAAGCTAAAAGAGACAAGGAAAAGGGTTCTCTCCCATACTCCAAACTGAATCAGTCCTGCCAACACTGACTTACCTAGTGAAGCCAATTTCAAATTTCTAACCTATAGAAAGCCACCCAAGGTTTCGCTCATTTTGTTACAGCAACGACAGAAAACTGATACACAATCCATCATCTTATAAATTCCAATATGATTCAGAAATGTTTTAGTTTATATTGATGTGGGAAGAAAAGTCATCTTTGCCTTCACCTGCTAGTGTTCTAGCATCTATCAGAAACGATAAACTGCTGGCATCCCATGTGGACACCAGTTGGTGTCCCCGCTGTTCCACTTTCCAGCTCTCTGCTAATGGTCTGGGAAAAAAGCAGCAGCAGATGGCCCAGGTTTTAAGGTCCCTGTCACCATGTGGGAAGACCCAAATGAAGCTCCTAACTCTGTCCTGGCTGTCGCAGCTATCTGGGTAGTAAACCAGTGGATAGAAGATTGACCTCTCTTCCTCTGTCTCTGTAACTCTGACTTTCAAATAAATCTTAAAAAAAAGAAAAGATAAACTGCTGAGGCAATAAAAGGAAGCTAGGAGTGGGTGTTTGGTACAGCAGATAAAAACGCTGCTGGGGACACCCACATCCCATATCAGAGATGGGTTAACCACACCTCCACTCCCAATTCCAGCTTCCTACTAGTGTGTACCCTAGAAGGCAGCAGATGATGGCTCAAGTACTTGAGTCCCTGTCACCACATAGGAGACCTGGACTGAGTTTCCAACTCCTAGCTTGGCTTTGGCCCAGCCTCAGCTGTTACAGGCACTGAGGGAGTGAACTAGCAGAAAGAAAACCTTTCTATCTGGCCTTCAAATAACAGAAAATTTTATATGTATGCATAAAATACATATTTCACTGCATTTATAAATTATATATGTGATTTTTACATAGAAGCTTAAGAACTTAAAATTAGCAATATACCTACTATGTGCCAGCCATGAAATTGAGGATGTCACATAAATGACACAATCTTTGTTTTCAAGAAAGTGCTCAAGACTAGTATATACGGTTTACACTGTAACAAAACTACAAGAAGCATGATACAAAGACTAATAAGATAGAGAGTCCCAAAGAGTTGCAGAACCACATATAGTCATTCTTGTGGAAAATGAAAACATAAAAGAGGCAGTATCACAGTTTCCCAAGAGACAACACAGACACTGTTAGAACAAATTCAAATATGTGGTTATAGATTTTTAAACAAAACAGTTAAATATTGATAATTATCATGCATTTTACAAACAAAATACTGTAAGCAAAATACGTGTAAAGATATTGCTAAAAATACACAAAAATGTTTCAAAAGGAAGAAACAGTAAGGAGAAAAAAATAGGAGAGTGCTTCAAAAAACTTATAGAAAAAATTAAAGATAAATTTATTTTTGTGCAAAAACAATCTATATATAGTTTCTCACAGTGCACATTTTCTAGTATTTTCCTTGCACTTTCACATTTGAGGTAGCATGAATGAAAAACCTTTTCAAGAAACAGTATAATTAAAAAAAAAAAAAAACTGAAAAAACTGTGAGTGTGGGGGCAAAGTTCCGGGAAAAACTAAGTCTTCCTGGAAACAGCTTAAGTTGTCACTGAAGAGATGAGTACCTTCTATATAGTCTTGAAGAATGAACACATATTGACTAGTCACTGCACACTCCTAAGAATGGCCTACCATAGGACTAGCCCTTCACTGACTCCTGAGAGATAAGCTCTGACCCACGGAATAGTCTGTGAATGAGTGTTCTGGATGTGAGGCTTGGGGCCACAGAATATTGGTCAGGCCAGACAGTTTACACTCACTGTGTGACTTATGGGAGAATGCCTATTTTAGGATGCCTGAAGCCATGAATCATACTGTACACAGATTTGATTCTAGGGTGGACTAAAGTCCAATTAACTGATGTCAGTTCTGCCAAGGATGCACTACTATGAGACTGATGCCTCAGTGAAAAACTCAAGACAGATTTTCTCCCTGGAAATACTCCTGTGTATTGTTTCACACTGTTGCTGGAATAACTATGCACCTCCCTGTTCTATATTAGAAGACACCTAGCTTGCACCTGCTTTCTCTTGGACGTCATACCATGTACCTTTTCTCTTTGCTGATTTTAATTTGTCTTCCTCCCTTCACTGTACTAAAATTCAACCATGAATACAAGTTTTTACAAGTATAAGTTATTCTAGTAGATCATCATTCCCAACACTGGCCCTGGAGACTGTCGCCTCAGCTAGAAAGTAGGAAACAGCATGCAAACTGAGAAAATAAAAGAGGAGGATACAAGAGAGCAGAAAATATCTACATGCATATATAGATATATATATATAATTACATGTATATAAAATATCAAGTTAATGAAAAATTTCCTACAGCTAAATGAAGAAATATTCTTGTGAAAGGTCACAAAAGATGGGGATATTCTATGTTCTTAGCAAGAAACATCCAAAATTATGATACTACCAATTTTACCTGTGTAATATTAGGTGTTTTCCTTTTTTGAACTGCAGCCAAGTTAATTAAGATTCTTATAAATTTCCATCCTAGACTGATACAATGATATATCAGTCTGGTGATATATATATCTACACACACACACACACACACACACACTTATCTTCTCATTCTAAATCCCCACTAAAATGATACTAAGCAATATCATTGTGACCCTATAGATTAAAATGTCAGCATCCCATTTGCATATGGAGCACCAGTTCAAATCTTGGCTGCTCCATTTCTGATCCAGTATTGTCCTAATGCACATGGGACAACATTGTAAGTTAGCCCAATGATTTGGGCCCCTACCACCCATTTGGGAGACCTGGATGAGGCTCCTGGCTTCTGGTTTCAGCCTAGTCTAGCCTATCCCAGCCATGCCTGTTGTGGCCATTATAAGAGTGAATCAGAGGATAAAGGCTCCCTTTCTCCCTCTCCCTCTGCCTCTGCCTTTCAAACAAATAAATAAAAAATAAAAAATAAATAAAAAAAAAGAAGTTGCTACATCTTAATATACATGGACTAAAGGTAAACACAAAGATGCCTAAGTTTGGGAAATAGTTATATTTTTACTTCAGTTTAAGAAAATCATTTTAATTATCATATGAAAGGAAAACTGAGATACTAAAACAGAGTTAAAGTATAGTGAGGGTCTAGTGTTTATGGCACACTGGGTTAAGTTGCCACATGCAACACTGGTTCAAATCCCAGCTACTATTGTTTCCAACCCAGCTCCCAGCTAATATGCCTGAGAAGGCATCAGCAAAGGTCCAACTGCTTGGGCCCGTGCCACCCATGTGGGAAATCAGGGTGAGTTTCTGGCTCCTGGCTTTGGCCTGACCCAGAACTGACTATTACAGGCCATTTGGAGAATGAACCAACAGACAGAAGATCTCTGTCTCTTCTGTGCTCTCTGTTGCTCTTTCAAGTAAATACACCTTTAGAAATAAACAACAGAAGGTCCTGTGAACCCAGGTGGGTGCTGTGGGTTAAGCTACTGACTGGGACTCCTGTAATCCGTAGTGGAGGGCCCAGGTCTGAGTCCTGGTTACTGGGCTTCTGATCTAGCTTCCTGCTGCAGCACCTGGAGAACAACGGATGACAACTCAAGTACCGGACTCCCTGCCATGCACATGGGAGACACAGATAAATTTTCTGGCTCCTGCTTCAGCATGGCCCTGTCCTGGCTTTTGCCATCACTTGGGGAGTGAACCAGTGCATGTCAAGATTTCTCTTTCTCCATCACTGTGTATGTCAAATAAATAAATCTTAAAGAAAAGAAAAGAAAAGAAAAGAAAAGAAAAGAAAAGAAAAGAAAAGAAAAGAAAAGAAAGAAAAAGAAATGCCAAGAAATTTGTTTCAATACAGTGAGGCCCTGGAGAAGTGAATCACATAAAATGCAATGCAGTTATTGTGAAGCAAAACAATCTGTCCAATCCTGCTCATCTACCCATTAACAAGTTTCAGAGACCACAGATGGGTTCTATGCTGAAGCTATAGCTCCAAAGGACATACTGTGATAACAACTGTTCTAAGACACAGGCAACAATACTAAATTCGTGCCGTTTTCAGTTTGATTTACCAAAATTGGGACTCTCGGGTCACATGCACTGTCTGGTGTTTCCCAGCCCAACCCTGCTCTACTCTGTACTTTTACCCTC